TAGGAATAACATTCCTCAGGGGCTAAAAAATGATCACTGTCTGCAACTTGAAAAGCAGGAACCCGTCATGCTTTACTCCGAAGTTGGTTCTGGAAAAACTACGGTTGATTCTACTTGAACGCGCCAAGCTTCAACTTACGCGAGCTTTTTCCGCCGGGCTCCAGCAGCAAAGTCCGGTCTCTGGAAGATTTTCTCATGTACACGAGTGTAGCAGGCAATCCTCGCACTTGTGCTAGGTTCTTCCACTTTCTATATTGGCGATTGTTGCCTATCTGATCACCTCGTTATCACTCTTGTGCTCCAGTCGATTAAAGTTGTGATATTAGATTTTAGCTCCAATATCCGAGTCTAGGCCCAGTACGTAGCTACTGAACCCGTGCAGAAGAGGGACCTAGACTTTCCAAGGATGCACTAGCTGCGAGACATCCCGTCGGATATAGACCGAGGATATATTGATTATTGAGCCATGTGGCAAGGATAAATGGGGTAAGCCGGTAGGCAGCCGCGCGAAAAGGGAAGGAGACGCAATTAGGGGTTCCTAAGTCACGGGTATGGAGCCAGTACTGATTTCAGGGCGAGTGCAGGGGTTGTGGCTGGGTTGGCGATAACTAACGCGGGATATTATGATTCAATGGGAATAGCATCCCTGCCGCACTATAGGCAAGGCTTAGCCTATAAGGGGTAATAGCAAGAGCCATTAGTTGGCCCGAGAAATTGTTGGTTACTCCCGGCTGCATTACAGTATGGTCTAAAGCCGATCTATCATTGCAGGGAGAATGTTTCCGATTATAACAGGCACTGCAGATTAAGTCCAGCCATCTGCTGGTCTCCAAGGGATCAAGATTTGTTCTGGTCTTGTGTCTACTGAGTGCCGTCAGCATTATTGCTCTTATATAGTGACTACAATCAGGCCTTTTAACAGATGCTCATTCGCTAAGAAGCTGTTTCAACGAGTTAATCAACCAAACAAGCACACAATCAACATTCTTTTAGTCTGTTACAGCCTAACTTGAGATTGTCTAGCTACGCAGTTACCTCTCCGGTGAGAAGCAATATAGCTCCGCATCACCATAATACCTCCTGAGCCCAATACATCGGAGGCAGATAACATGAACAGACAGAAATTAAATAGCCAAATAAACCCGCTCGCCATGTCACCTATCCTCTAGGTAGGCTATTCAGTGAGTGCTCGTGGCTCTTTTTTCGTGTCACCATATTTTGTTCTGTGTCTCATTCCTAATAATGAAGTCTCTTCACTCAAAACGTGATTCCAACAATCTAAGGTTAACGACCTAATCTCCCAAAAGTATATGCATGGAAATTCAGTTCTACAAGTCAATACAAAGTCAACTTTATAGGATAAACTGCATCTTTTCTATCAGAGACTAAGGATGTCAAGACATGTACGGAGTATGTCGTCTTTAATCCTCGGTAAACTGTGGTAAATATATCCGGGATGCAGATACTTCAATCTAGGTTATTTTATGTAATTCGTCCGTTAGACGAATTGTATTGCGTAAAGCACGGTGACCAGGAGAAGTTGCTTATGATAGAATTCACAGATGACACAATTTACTAACATTGCGGGCTGTGGCTGGTTGCATCCAGGGTCTAAGTCCGCGTCAGCCTCGCGTTGCCAAGCAAGCAAATCGTAAGGGATTACAAACACGCAGTCTCCTCGTGAACATTTAAACTCTCATCCTTTCTTACCTCCCTGTCGGGGTTTACGGATATATCTATGATAGCAAAAAGACAACCCCATTATACTTCACGCTGCGCCGTACACTATTCGTGGCAGCTCGAGTGCCACGAAACTGACAATAATACCTTTCAAGCACACCATGGTCCATGAAACCAACGAGATCGGACGGGTACACCAAACCCTCCACTCACGTTCTAATCTGGCAGTTTATCTACGATCTATACCTACTATTTGCCACGTATGTGTATTACTATCAATATGCACCAGAGCGGTATACCCGAAGTTTGCACGATTCCGCCCACCACCTTGCATTTACTTTCCTGGGCCACCTAGCTCTCTATCCACGATGAGCTTTATTTCTATGTTCTATACAACCATATTTCGTGCGCATCATAGTAACTACGGGAGTTACCGTCACGTATTTCTTTAGCTCCTCCACCCCCTTCGGGGAACCTCAAGGCCCAGACGCTATAGTAAAGGGCGCTGCAGGATATATAATATATATACAATAGAATATACATGTGCATGGGATAGATAGAGGTGGAAATACTATAGTACTAGCAGTATAAAGTCTACCCATGTTGAGCTACCGAATCGTGATACATCTTTTACAGTTAACCTTGATCGTCAACATTTCGATTTCCCGCTTCAGGCGCTACATTTCGAACCTATGGAGGGAAAGTTATACTGTCATCTGTTCTCGGTGAGGTTTTGACTCGTTGAGGGAGCTACGGATGTAATGGAAATAATGGAAGTAGTGGAAATAAAGGAAATAAAGGAAATAGAAAAAGGCTTTGTTGCTGAGTCACTATCAGTGTGCCTTTTCGTTACCTGAAATATTCGGCAGCCCTCCGCGCAGCTTGTATATTGCCATTCGATCACATATATAAACCATCAAGCATTCCCATCCCTAGTGTGATCATGCGCACGTCTTGCAAGCCTCTCCATGACAAACACTTTGCTCCTTTTTTACTTCCTTACTTACTTGAGTCGCTACTCAGATCCAACATCGTAATTCCTGATGATGTGCCCTGCATGCAGTTTCCCATTGGATTATAGATCCATGTCCTCTATGAGAGGTTGCTGGTGTACAGGCTTATCTGAGCCTTCTTGGGCTTGTTTTGAACATCAACGGCCGTTCCTCGCTACCCCGCATCCAACCGCTTTCTCATACCTGCCTCTTGCTGCGTTGTCTGAGTCGGAGGTTACGGCTCCCAGCTTGCCAACTCAATCAATTCTCAGTGTCACCACAACCCCAGTCGACGATTCCACCGAGCGTAGTAATGGTTCAGGCGGAGCAAACATTTCGCCCCACGCTCAGATCCTGAGCTGTGGCGACTTAACCTCGAGCAGCCCTAGAGTCAGCCTCTTCGAACAGGACTCCGCCATAGAAGAATCAATGAAGCGAGCAAGCGACATGGATGAATGTGGTAAAAGCCATGTGGCCCGTGGTCATCGTGGGGTATCCAAGTCTAGGTACGCTCCATGACTTATCCAGTCGCTCGTCTGACAATTAATTTCTAATACGTATGCTTTGTCCTAGAGTAATGCGCACCGGTCTGTATAGATGTGAGTGGAGGGCTTGTAAATACCGCGGCGAATTTTCGCGCGAGGCAGAATTGATGAGGCATATTCGGTCTAAGCATGTCTGTCCTGGTTTATACGAGTGTCCAGAAAAAGACTGTAGAAGGCCGTTCAACCGAAAGGACAATATGATGGAACATCTTCGACGGATGCATTAGAGCGGCAGTCCTAAAGATAAAGGCTTCCTCTTTCTCACTTTTCTTTCCAAAGCACTCTTTCGGTAGTTGAGCATATCTCGGGTTTTTATTTGACATTGGATCTCCAGCCTCTCTCCTTTTGTACTTTTATCCATCATCACTAATGCTTTGAGCTTCTGTTTTTCGGTGTCAAGCCCTGGCTGCAAACTACGTCCATTGAAACGGGTGATATGCACAGATATGTAACTTCCATGTCAGATACCGAAGCACTTTCTTGAAGTTTTGTCAACAGTTGTGGATTACAGTAAAGGGTATATGCATGTATAGCGGGAAATCTTCCTACAGCATGGTTGAATAAGAATGGTGGAGACCATCGATGTTCAAATGGATGAATGGGAAACAAACTGGGCAGTTAGCATTGTGCGAAGCGTTTTGCTCACCACCATTTCCTGTTTTCGTTTATTGGCTGCTGAAGCGCTTTACAAGGATTTGAAAGGCCCTTGTCCTCCCATCGGTAGATTGTCGGTAGCCAATTCAAGCAATTGTTTTATCACCCTTACCCGCTCCGGTTATCTAGTCAGAATATATATTTGCAAGGAAGCAGCAAGAAAAAGGCCTCTAACTGAAAACTTCACCGCAGTTAAAATTGCTCTGGCTTTAAGCAATGCAATAACTATCATATTAATACGTGCTCTTGCTATTTTGAACTCGTAAACACTAGCTTTAGGTAATGTGTATATATATCCTGCTCTGCCTCCGTGAAACAGTTTACACTTCTTTTTGTAAGAGTAATATTTTCAAAAGAGAAAACGCTTTCAACAACAAGTGGTTGTGTAGTGTAATGGTTAGCACCCAGGATTCTGATTCCTGTAATCCCGGTTCGATCCCGGGCACGACCTTTCCTTTTTGACGATTTCTTTTTAATCATTCGCTGGGACCCACTGTTTACCCGCGTGCCCATAGCTTTTGTTACTTTATACGAGCTAGATCACCTAGCTGCGCTATAGCCTTCTCGAGGCGCTAGGGCGAGCTTCTGAAATATTGAAATTCTATCAAATTGATATTCAATTCCTTAGCACCGTTTTCTTTGTTAGAGTTCCACCCCGAAAGTAGAGTCAAATGTTTTTCCGAAACACAATATTTCTTGAACGACTCTTGTACATCATGATATACAGCCTTCACAAATCGGATGAAGTGCTACGTATACTTAGTCGCCTTTTGCTACTCACCTGGGGTCCGTGCCAGTCGCGACCTGTTCAGCGACAATAGTAGATGGATGATCACTTTATTGATGATCAATTGCTTCGTAGAAGGAAGTAATTCTAATAAGGCGCAAAAGAATGTGTATTTCTCCAAGTATTATCCAAAAGCCGGGGTAGAAGCCCATTAACAGTTTATCATTTGGCCGCAAGTTGTATGAAAGAGTGGTTATACTTTTCGTTGTGGTGGGGCTACACCAATTCCAAAAGTAGGCCACAGAAGATAATCATTTGAACTCGGCTATAGGTTACAAAAAAAAATTTGCTTTATGTATGAAATAACCCCACACCCCGCCTTATGCCTTATTACTAGATAGGTCACAGCGAGGATGAGCTACGCCGAGTCAAATAGAAATAGTAGGTACCCTTGGTACCGAACAGCTTGGGTGTATCCATGGCACCAGCAACCATATTATCCGTCACATAACGAAAGTGGTCAAAAATAGGCTTCTGGTCATAGATCATGGCGGTCGAGGTTACTCCTCGATAGACCATCTCCCGTAGCTATTCAGAGATAAAATGTCAGGGTGTGGTTAAGGAACGGCTTCAATTCCGAGCATGCGTACCGAGCAATGTCCCCAATCTTCCCTCCATACCCGGTTGCCTTCTGCATCATAAACCATGATTGGATCACCGTCGTCTACCGACCGGAAGTCTTTTCCAGCCCATTTCATATCCTTTAAAAGCTTGTGTCCAATATGTCCCGTATCGATATCACCGCCGTCCCATTTGCCTATCAGGAAGGATGGAGGAACTGGCTTCAATTGGTTGTATACATTCTCAACCGTTGATTCTGGCACAAGGCCGGTGGCCTTGGTGAGTTGGATAAACTGTTCTTCAGGCCTGTCATAAACGGTGAGTTCCTCGACTTCATCTGGCTGTTACCGAAGAAAGTATTGTGGAAATGACTTACCCTGCCATATTCCCTTTAAGTATTTGCAAATTCTGTTGGAATATTCCGTGGAATGAGTGATAAATACCGCACAAGATTCGTGGATTTGCAAAATAAATCCTTAATTAATGGCGTTTTATATAGACATCTAATTATGCGGGGGTTCCCAATGGGCACCGGAGGATTGAAAAGCCTAGGTCCGCGGGGAGACCAGCCCGCGGGTATTCAGCAAACCGCCGTGGGGAAAACAAAGGTCTCCGTGTATGTGATACAATGTCGGATATAGTTTCGTGCATGTCCCTTATATATCGTTTAGAGGTTCGACGTTTCCTTTATTTGAAAAAATGACGAGGAAGCCTTATCGAACGAAGTCTCAGATTATCTGCCGTGGGCTTGTTCAGTAAACATGTATTATCGCGGATAGTTGACAGGGAGTGTTTAGATCAGGTTTTATCAGCGGTCGATAACGTCCACCAGCGAGCGCCATACACGTCACCATATTGGTATCCTATGCTCTGCTGTGTGTAAAGGGTAAGCACTTCCTGAGTCGGTCTTCTCCCAGATCGTTTTCAAGGTTCTTTGTCGATTGGTTGGTCAGGTATCCGGCGCTTAGCTGGCGCTATGAATACCCTCCGCCATGTGAAGGTGGGGAGTGAACCACTTTTCAAAAACACTTGATTATTTGAAAACCGATTCCTTTTCGCTAGAGCAATTCACTTTGCTATGAATGAGGTACGACGGAGGATGTTAGTCTGGCTGTGACGCTTTATGCCACGCTGAGAATAGATGCCGATAGAAAGTCTCAGGTAGGCTCATAGCAGGTCCCAAGCATGCCTGACCTACTAAAAGGCGCCAAAGTGTCACTTTACGAGCATGAGAACGAAGGACAAAATCCAGTGACTTTGAATAACCATGACGGTGTAAAGAATCAAGCCATCCACCAGAACTTCTATGGACCGGTCAGCTTTGGGAATGATGGTGAACCAAAACCGGGATTAGGGAACAATTTGAGCAGGAGAAACCCTTAGCAAAAACAGAGTTAACTTGTATGTATAAAATTCGTTAGACTCGTCCGACCGGTATGATTAAAGTAAGGGCTCAATTTCGGAATCCGAAATACGTCTTTCGCTGAACGATATTTCTAGATATCCTTGTCTCACTAGCATTCCCTGACATGATTGATAGACGGTGTAACCTGCGGCAGCCATATGTCAACACTTGTGAATGGATACTAGACTTAAACGAATACAAAAACTGGGGAGGAAAAACCCCGCAGTCTACTTTGGATCAAGGGTAAGCCTGGCGCAGGGAAGTCGACGTTAATGGCATTCCTATACAATAGGCTTAAGAAGAGATGCAAGAAACAGCGACAGGGCATTAATTTCGAGTCCTTCTTCAATGGTCGAGGGGCAGAGCCACAGCGGACACCACTTGGAATGCTGCGCTCGTTATTAAATCAGCTCTTTCGGAAGGACGTGGTGGTACGCCTTCTGGTAAGGGACGAATACCATGAGAAGTTCTGTGTCTTTGGAGAGAGCGGATATGGCTGGTGTTGGCAACGGCAGGATTTGGAACAACTGCTTCAAGATTCCATTGTCTTGTTAGCTCAACAACAGCAAGTTACGATCTTGGTCGACGAACTAGACGGAGCAGGCACACAATTTGCGTTGGAGATTACTGCGTATTTCTACCGGGTTACTGACTCAGTTGCTGCCAAGATGGCATCGGCAAAAATATGTATTTCATGTCGACATTATCCCGTCCCCACTATTTGACCGGGGGTCGAAATATGTATGGAACAACATAATAAAAGTGACATAACCACATAGGTCGAGGGTCACCTAGGTACTCCTTACTTAGGGACTCCCAACAATTCAGAGAGGAGGGCATGTTCTCATCTAAAAGCCGATATCATTGCACAGAGCAACGGGATTTTGGAATGGGTGCATCTTATTGTGGCCTTGTTTGAAAGCAGAATCGCCGACGGTGAATCAGTGGATCGGGTTTGCCACTGGTTGCAACATGTCCCTCATGAACTGAGCGATGTTTACCAGGACATCTGCAGAATGTCATCAGGTGAGAGTATCGTAGCTAGTCGTTTCTTCTTTTTCAATGGGTCTGGCATGCTGGGCGACCACCCTCGGTGACGGAGATGCGATATGTTTTGGTTGCAACGGAAGCTGCACGAAAGCCGTATTCCATCCGATTCCAAGAGACAAGCGACTTCATTGAAACCGACGACCGGATGAAACGGCGGATCTGTGCTTTATCTAACGGGTTGGTCGAAATCGTGAATGTTCCCAAGGTTGGTGCGAAGGAAACCGTGCGAGTTATCCACCGATCGGTAACTGAATTCTGCGCGCACGAGGATTAGCTTATCTAAATGCGCTCGAGGAGGACAAGAAAGCCACTCATGCTATACCAGACACAGAGTCACAAGGCAACGACATCACCCATAGCTATCAGACGCCATCCTACGGCTCATATCTGAATTATCTGGTCACAGAATATGTCGTAATTGCTATTCTTTTAGCGATGATACCCTCAAGGTTCCTGATAAGGCTAGTTCCAGGCTAGGAATATCTGGGAAACAGTTATAAATTGATAATTTTCGCTATGTTATGGCCTTCGTGTTAGCGTTAACACGTTACCCTATATGTACATACAAACTTGCCCGCGCGAAAAAGTGGTCTAGGCTTGTATATAGATACCAAGTGACGCACCTGCGAGAGCATGTAGACAGATAGCTATGATATATATGCTTTTTCAAACGTTATCATTAGGCTGATCAGATTCATATCTACTGTTGCGAGTATAATACGCACAATTCAACCAGAGCAAGTAATAAGACTCTAGATGTGTTAGAAGTATTGTGTCTTTCCCTAGTTCACCATGTTCCTGGCCAGCTGAATCGAAACTCTAATTTCAATAATTGTCTCCACTTTTTCGGCAGATTGGAATGTACGGAGTACTCTGTATGTACTTTGCCTACGGGATGCATGTTTCATACTCTCAGGCTGAGAATCCCGGCGTGCTACGAGGAGTGCATGATTGGCTAGGGGAGTGCAAGATTCAATCGGGATATATTATCAACCTTCACGCTAACAGGAGCGGGATCAGTGGAAGTGGTACCCATCATGTCCACGACTTAGACAGATCCAAAGTAAATCCCTAGCGCGGCAGAAAGCGCAGATCGGCAGTGGGGACGAACACCTCAGCTCGGCTTTTTTCCCTTCCTTTTTAGGTCTAGATAATCGACTTTTCAGCTTAGCCCAGGTGTAGACATTTAATTCAAAAAAGGCCGCTTGTCGCGTAACAGCGTACAGAAGAATAATATTTTTACTTGACCACGGAGTATAAGCTGGACAGAGTCTTCTATTGAGTTTATAAGATAGACCGGCTCAATGTCGCGTTTCGCATATCCAGTGAATACTGCCAAGATATGGCTTCGCTCGACTAAAGTACGAGTGGTCTCAACGCTGACAGGGCTGCCTTTCCGGCAGCTCGGGCTATTGTGTGAGTGTCGATGCAACACAGTGACTATATGTAGTCTACTAATCAATTTCTCCAGCAATATGTCACTTTGCTGAGGCGGGTATGTATTGCTCCGGAAAATAGTTCCGAATAGGTGACCAACGACGCGCCGGATTGAACTGACGTTGTATCAATATAGTCGTACTCACCTCCATCGTCCCGTATATGGTACGCTAGCTCAGCCTATATCTCCTTTCAAGTCATCTGCGCTTCACAAAGATTAGACTAATAACTTCTCATGCAGCCCGCCATGCTCGAACATGCCGGTGTACCAAAGAGCGATGTGCCTAAATGGGTTGGCTTCACCACTACGATAACCGCTACCTGTGCCGGCTTAATGGGCGTGATATGGGGTATGGCTTCTGATTCCATGGGTCGGAAACGTGTTATCCTGCTTGAACTCAACCTCATGTTGGTATTTATTCTACTGTTTGGCTTCTCACAGCACCTCGCCCTCCTGGTGCTGTTCCGGGCATTGCTGGGTCTCGTGAGTGGTAGCGTCGGTATTATGCGCACCATGATCGCAGAGATGGTCCCTGAGAAGCTACTACAGCCATATGCATTCAGCATCCTGCCAACTGTCGAGACAATTGGGTCGGGGTTCGGTCCCGCCCTAGGAGGATTGTTGGCCCAGCCAGCAGAGCATTATCCTGGCATCTTCGGCAAAATTGGACTCCTTAAGATGTTTCCCTTTGCCTTGTCTAGTATCGCTTCTAGCTGCGTTGTTGCTGTCGCTATTACTATGGCATCTTCTTCCCTTCGTGTGCGATTTACCTTTCCTTGAAGAAGCTCAGATTGCTCTAACAGCTTGTATAGGAAACACAACCCGGGCGGAAAGACTCCCCTGATGACTCTGGATTGATGATCGGAAAAATTATGAGTAGCGTGTGGGCGCTGCGTAAGAGAAAGACCGATATCCGACCGGAGGTCGTTGATGAGACAACAGCTCTGCTCGGTGACACAATAGAAGAAGTAGAAGAGGGCTTGGAGCAGAGAGCAGCTGCCCTTGCAAGCAGTTGGAAAAGTGTTATCTCTCCACAGCCTATGCTCCTAATGCTGATATCAGGTGTGATGAGCATGCATACCGTGGCTTTCGACTCTTTGTTCCCGGTACTTTTGCATCTTCCTAAGCAACACTTGAAGGAGAATCCAGATGTGCACCTGCCATTCAAATTCAGCAGTGGACTAGGGCTAGGTAAGCTAAACAGCTTCGACACTACTACACTTTTACTAATGATCGATTGATGTCATTTAGAAGCAAATGAGATGGGGCTCTTCTATTCGATAGTCGGCATATTCAGCATGGTAGTCCAGCTCGTCATCTTCCCATGGGCGGCCAGAAAGTACAGAATCCTTAGATGTTTGAGACTGGCTTCTATCGTTTTCCCCATTCTGTACTTTGTGGTCCCATTTGTCCCTCTTCTCCCGCAGCCCCTGTCCAGTGTGGCAGTATGTGCACTGTTGATCTCGAAGATGGCCGGATCTGCCTTTGTTTTCACGTCCTGCACAATTCTAATCAGTGAGGTAGCGGGAGCCATTGGCATGTTAGCCACGGTGAACGGAATAGCTACGAGTATTATCGCCTTTGGACAAGCTCTTGGACCGGGAGTCATGGGCCCTGCATTCTCACTTGGTGTGAAAATTGGCTACACGATTATGCCTTGGTGGTTGCTGGCTGGGTTCGCGTTTCTGAGTTCGCTTCCAATAGCTTGGATTACAGAAATGGATATCCAACTTCCCCAGGAAGATTTTCTTCCTAGTGAGGAAGAGCAGCGCGTTGGTGATGTCGAGGATTATATGGGAGGCCATGGCAGACAGCCTTTTCCGGCTTAGTGCATCTTGCGGGATGGAAATCAACGGCATTTGCTATACACATCTTGAAGGGCCGTTTACATGTCTAGTCAGCTTATTTCATATTGACCTGAAAAACTGCTGGAATATTAGTCTTCTATTTACTGCAACCAAATGCCATCAACCTACGGCGACTTTCAAAGAGCGTACATTGTTAATTATTGTTTAACAATTACTTTCAAACCGTGACGCCTTCCAGTATTAACTAAGAAACAAGACCATGTCCAAGCTCATCTCCTAAACCCTCACTAGTCCAGCGAGACCGAAACAGGGCACTCGTGTACGCCTACCAAAACATGTCAAGCTTGCTGGCCACCGAGTCGTCACCTTCTTCTTTGCCATGGCAGCAAGTGTGGCAATGCTTGTATATGATGTTAACAAATGTATTAGAGCCCAGCATTGGGTAGAACCTAGAATATTACTCACCCCGAACTTCTTGGCATGCTGTAGGCCTAGAGTTAGCACTATTCCAAAAAGTGATAAGATTCCGATGTGCTTACCCATCCCTCGGGACAATGTGGCTTCTCCGGAAAGCAGACCCTCCAGCAAACATCGGTGCTTTCGATCTCCATAAGACGTGGTACGGCGTTGACACCAGTCAGGAGGGCGGTGGTTGCGGCCAGGATGGTGGAGAACTTCATTTTGCAGAGAGTTACTTTAATTCAAGTAAGAAAGGGATCTGATTTGTTGTTGTTCAAATTGGCGTGATATGTTTGAAGAATGGTGCAATTTCGAGGGACAATAGCACTCTATTTATCTTTGGTCTCGGTGATTCTAGACCTTCGTTCAGTCCAAGTTGATTTCTTCTATACATGTCGACATTGTGACGTTCATACAGGATAATGTACGGTTTTGGTAACACCCTCATGCTTGTCAGATAGGATATGATTCAATTGCTCCGTTAATGATTGTAAGGCATAGTCAATTTTGGCGGACTTCACTAATCTCCATGATGTGTGCGGGTAATGTATCCAGTTAAGGTTATTTTTCAATGTAACCTAACTGGTCTAACCAGTGAACCAACGACAATCTTGCGGTTAAGCTTTCCGAGAATAACCAGATTCGACTAGACTAGTAGTAGAAGGTTTAGACTGTCCAGATCATTGTGGTGTAATTAGGTTCTCGCCGGGCTGTCACAGACTTCTGTTGACTGGTTGACATAAAGTTAATATATAGATTGGCTGAAAACGTCGGTGACACCATCAAAAATCTGATTTCATGACGTCAACCATGTCTATTTGATATAAGCTTCCGTTTGCAGCTGTCGTAGCCTCTCTGGGTAGAGACTGTATCTCGATTTATGATTTTCTGTCATGTTCAATGATATACTCAGCTATCATAGGTTCCGAATACTATGGATCAACCATTGGATGGGTATAAGTCACGGTGGGTTGAAATGATTTTCAGATCCAGCACAGCCAGCGCTAGTACGAGGGTATTACTATTGATATTCAAGTAAATACAGTCTAGATAAGGTCTTCGTTTTTTAGATAGTTTACAGCGGTATATGATGGGTGATCGGGAGCACTCTTTCGTACCAAGATAGTGGGTATGACTGGAAGCCAAAAGCGGGGGCTCATCACGGCCCGATGGCAGTCCTCGCTCACGGAAGGTTCCGACCCATGCCAATGCAGTAGATCAAAGAGTAGACTTACATTCATGAACAAGTAGGCTTGACCTTTCAGTGGACCTGTCGGGCTGGTACATACGGCAAGCTTTGTGCTTGGTTTCGGGGGTTGCTCCGGGCCTACCCAAAAGCTTCCCTAGTGACTGACTTCGAAGAACCCTAATATGTTGATCTGGTAGGAACACTGTTTTAACTACGATGGAGTAGCGGGCCATTTATGTGGTCTTGCCCAATCGGTAAACGGTTCCGCCTTTCAGCTCCAGCGCTCAGCAGCTTCATCAATGGAATGCATACTTCACTTGAACAGTTTGCGGCTGACTCGCCACAACCCTAACCCTCCGTGAGGCATAAAGAAAGTTAAAATGGAGTTAATATATGCCCCTGGCATGAATTAGTCCGACATGCTAGACTATTTCCCAATATCCTTCGTCTGTTAGTCGGCAAAAGTAGGTACTAATACTGTATCTGGTCCAACATTGATATTCAGAATTAGAATCGTTCCTGAATTTCTCTTATCACAAATGCTCTTGAGAAATACCCACATGCAGTCGTTGCCGGCGCCTGCGATCAAGAATCGAGAGAGCACGACGACGGTGTCCGATCAGCTCGACCCGGACACCCATGCAGAAATCTTCCACACTATTCAGACCGCAGCACTTGCGACCACGAATCCGGTTGACCAACCGATGGCGATCCTCTTAGGCGGTCAACCGGGCGCCGGAAAATCGCGCTTGGCCAGCGCCGCAATGAAGGATCTCGGCGGCAATGCTGTGAAGGTTGATGCTGACGAATTGCGGCAATTCCACCCGCGATATATCGATTTGATGCGCGAAAATGATCTCACAGCGAGTGATCGAATCCATCCTGACGCAGGCCCTTGGGCTGTAAAGCTCACGCGCGCTGCGATAACTGCACGCCGGAATCTTGTCATCGACGGCACAATGCGAAACGCGGACGATTTAGTCGCACTTTGCCGCAGTTTCCGTGAGGCTGGTTATTACATTGAGGCTCGAGTCATGGCCGTCAGCAGGCTTATCAGTCTTCTGAGCATACATGAGCGTTACGAGCATCAGCGGCAAGCCATCGGTTTCGGTCGCTGGGTAAGCTGCAACCACCATGACGCCGCTTTTGCTGGCGTGCCACTCACTGTAGAGAGACTTGAGGCGTATAGGTTGGTTGACAGGATGGCGATCTACGCGCGTGACAACGATGCGCCCGTGTACGAAAATCGACTCGAGCACGGCATATGGCAACGACCACCAGCAGGCCGGACCCGCCTTGACGCCGAGCGCATCCAACTGGAAGAGAATAGCGCCGGCGTAATGAGGTTGACCGGGGCCTATGCTGGAAAGCGGGATTGAAAACGTCCTCCTTGCGTATCATGAGAGATATTGTACGTCCGGTCGCTTATTGCAGATCTTTGCCTACTTACCGGCGAAATTAATGCGCTCACGCCGGAACCAGGTGAATGGGCTATAGCCTCCCAGAGGGGGTTATCGAAGCCTTCCTATATTCCGTTCTGAATGAACCGTTTACCCGCACTGTCTTATACACAACGTTACTCGCCCCCCACGCAGCGTCCAAAGCCAACATTTAGGCTCAATGAGACAAGCTAAGGCTTATCAACTTGGAGCATCTCGCGTTTATTCACGCTTTTTCCTTTCCGTGAACACCTTGAGCTTGCAAGCAGCCTGCTGGACGGAAACCATATTCGCCCACTTTGATCTTGGCGACACGCGCCTGAACAAGCGGGTGAAGACATTGATGGGACGATAAGCAGCCAAGCAGAGCGTTTGCGTGCCGCAGGCCTGTCCGGGTTGGGGCGAGACGATAGCGGCGTACGGATTCTTCGACAACGACGAGGTGGATTGGCGCGAGCTTCTATTTATATATGCTAGCGGCAGTCCGGAAAAACCAGCTCCAATGTATACCACGCGCAGGTTACGTGGGGCAAGTAAGAAGAGATATCTCTCTTTCGGGTGAAAGCTAGAGTTTTCTGACGCGCTTGTACGGATCCGTAGTAGGGTATGGTTTTCTTATCATGTTCTCTGTGTCGTAAGTATGAGGGGCTTGGTCGTTTGAGTAAGTCGAATCATAAAGATGACCAGCGGACCCTGTTACTCTGTTACGGTGGGATACTTGCGAGCACCAATCGCAAAGGCAAACCAGGAATCTTCATGATACTGTATTCTGATTAGTTAACGGTAGAGACCTGGTGTTAAGGCTACTTGTAGCTTATCAAATAGGCCAACGTAGGTATTTCATTGGTAGGTCAGTTCGTATAAAAATTTTCTTTAGTTATTGAGAGATATAGATATATATATGGTGAAAAATCAACTGAAAGAAACTTTTATAGCGCGAGTATATAAAACACGCTACCCACATTCTAATGTCCTTGCAACGCCACCAGAAAAACAATCTCAAGTGAAGAAAATTGCACAAGGCTGAATAAATTCATTGGAAGCTTCGTCGAGAATCTCTAGTGAGCTTACTTCTGATCCGGCTCCGGCAAGCCACCACTGACGTTATGCATAACTAAAATTCCTATACTGAAGTTGCCTTATACGAGATAATCATCGGTCTGTGGTTTCTCGGGAGTTTTATCGATGCGAAACCGAAAGGCGCCTCGAGCAAGACAGGGGATATTTCAAGGATAATGATAGAAACCATCGAAATAAGCCCAGCGACCAATTTCAAATTCTAGAAATTACCCGCCTTCTATCCCACTTTCTAACGGCTGTCGCTTCTGATAACGCGGGACTGGTAGGGAAACCGTGAATTCTCGTAATCATTCTATCATGTACCATATATTGTGACACGGAACACAAGTATATATACTCAAGATTATCGTCACGTGATACCTATATTCTAGGCAGCTGTGGACCTGTGGTAGCCTAGAACCAGCTCTGTTTTAGAGGTTGTCATGCAAACGGCCTTAACAAGCAAGTGAAAAGATTTAAATATAGCTAGTGACTCGCCAAACGGAATGTGCTGAACATCATGAATCTTCTTCTATCCGCAATTGATATCATAACATTCATTACGAGTATGTTAGTTCTACAGAATGCCATTGGTATTTAATACTAATTCGTGTACGAGCAATCTACAGTACCCCTCTTCCTTCCTGGTTAGCCTTGATAAATTTCTAAATGCCTTTTTCCATTCAAGAGATCTGTGATCGTCTCGAAATCAATGAGATTTACGCACGCTATGTCCATGCGGCAGATGAGAAGGATTTCGGATCTCTGGATCGGGTTTTCCTGCCACATACAATGTTCGATTGGACTGCATGTGGTGGGGGCAAGATGACCTATGAAGAAGCCAAGCAGGGACCAGTTCTTTACTGGAAAGCTGTTCCCTTGGTCGTTTCATATCTATGCAAACCCTCTCATTGAATTTTCGGGTGATCGGATGGCAGCAACAGTTAAGGTCAAGGCAATCAACCCCAGCGGTCTTCATGACGACCGAGACGAACCAATGATGTTCCAAACTCAAGGGACCTACATCGACACACTGGAGAAGACTGTACTCGGGTGGCGGATAACGAATCGGGTCTGGAAAGAATCCTTCATTGTGGGACCCTTGAAGAAAGTTGATGGTATCCCTGGCATGTTGAACGTTGCCGGAAGACCTCCCCACGATTGAATTTGTGAATGATTGCTCGAGACACTGCCGGGCAGACTATTACCATGTATTTAATTGCATGCGGGTCGTTATATTCTCTACCTTCCATACCATTGTATTTTGTTTAATAAGTTTGTCGAGTAGTATCTTTGGTAGTGTTCCACTTGTGCCGTCCTTCTGAATTAACTTTGCAACATTCTATGGCCGCTAGAGCGCCCACCCTTTGGTAATGCATAGAGTCGTGTATTCTAGAATCAAGATTGGAAACTGTAACAACTGCAGACCTGACGGGATATCATATAATATGAACAATCATCTTGTGCTGCCGTGGTTTAAGATGTGCTATTTTTCAGGTTGGATTATTTCCGTCCATTTCTATACAGTTCACGGCAGAGACAGGCCGGTAATACAGCCTAGCCCTATACGGATTAATTAAGACTTTACAGCAAATTAGGGTTCGAGTACGGAGAAGTATGTGCAAAACATGGAAGGACATTTCGGGCGCGTCCGTAACTCGGTAAATAAGATTATGTATCAATGCATAGCGTCAGTGATGCATTTTATGGCAAATAGTAAGATTGACGGTAATCAGATAGTTATAGTATATGATTGGTGTCCGACAACTGATAACCATGATCTGTAGGATTTGTGAAAGCATCAATGAACATGATCAGTGAGCTGATAACCCCGTACTGACAACTCGGCAAAGTCAACTATGCAGCATCGTGTCTCTTGCATATGTTTTCCCTAACACTCCCCACTTATGTTTTCGATACTAGTTTATTCAATAAATTATAGAGCCTCACCTTTCTTTCTTTCCATACTAAATGGCAAGATGTTAGCTGAAAAATTATATCAGAGCTTGTCGTGGGCCCGGTCAGCTTTGTCCTGGTCGAGGAATAAGGTGGAGAGCAATGTAACAGTGTGCACCTGGAGTGAATAATTGGGCAGTAATGAGTGCTCCGACGAGAGCATACGAGGCTAAAGGGCCGATGGCTGAGGTTTATCAAGTAGGGAAACGTGGAACCAGTGTAGCAATATTTCATTGCTATGTCGGTATCGATGTATACTTATTCATTAATTATCTAGGAATACAGCTATATATTACCCTCGGTGAAAAAAAACAACCGGCAAGGAACGATTACACAGTTTTAGACGTAATAC